GTGTAAATATCTTTCTATCTACGTATCCCACAGCAATTCAACTTTGTACATTTGCAAGTGCCAGCATCAATTAAAACTAATAGAACAATTAATGAAACACAAACCGCAAAATGCAACCACAAAAGCGAGAACTTAGACGGAGACAAGACACATGAAATACGCGTTGAACGCAAAAGGCAAGGCGAAGGCGCACATTCAGGGACTGATCGAAGTGGGAATGCTCTTCAACAGAAATACGAATTATATTATAGAGCTTTAAGTACTTAGAAATCATGGAAAACGTAATAGTTTTACCTACTATGACAAGCTCTAATACTCATTATACCCATACAATTTAGTTGCAAAACTGCACAAATTAAAAGCGTAGGTTCAACATCCAATATTCTTCCCTTTGGGACTAACAAAGCTCTCATTAAATATAAAATACCCTTTAAAGAAAAGCATTCCAGGTGCATACGGAATTTTCTTTCGGAAGCCATGAATGAATTTTATTCTGCCGCATTCATAATGGTCCACATAAATATAATTATCATTCTCTTTGGCAATCAAGCAAAATTACTTATTAAACGAAGTAAATGACTGAGCAATACATATGTAAGTGAATGCATCTCTAAATAATATCTCAATTCAAATTCTAAAGATTGATTTACTTTTGGTATCGAACAGCAAACAGAACCAATAACTTTACTGAGCAAAAAGATATGCAATTACATGCCTCCTGTGAGAATTGAACTCACGGCCCCTGGTTTACAAGACCAGTGCTCTGCCACTGAGCTAAGGAGGCTTGCTTGAAAAGACCAAACCATCAAGAAATATAAAAGGTAACTTGGCAGTAGCTTCTATCTAATGATACATCTTCAAAAACTTATCTTGGGGTAGTACGAATATGTATCTTTCCATTGATATCTTATCAAGTGAAACATGTGTCAAAATTCTGTCCAAACAAAACTGTTGAAAAAAAAAACGGAAACAACCAAAACAGTACATTAAACCTTAAAATAATTTTTTTAACCTGATTCCTAAACTGGAATACATTTTTTATTATTTAAAAAAAAAACTATAAAAGTTTCGAGAACGATCTAAAAACTCCCATATAAATATAATTAATTATTATTATAATTAAAGCCGCAAAATATAACTCGAATCTTCTTCCTTATGGGTCTGACAAACGTCTGCTTAAGTCCACAATGCCCTTCAGAGTAGAGCATTCCAGGCGCAGGCGGAACTGTCTCTCAAACGCAAAGAAAGAGTTTTGTTCTGCCGTATTCATGATGATCCCCATATAATCATCATTGTCTTTGGCAATTAAGCAATATGAATAAGTAAATGAATGAGCGAGTGAGTGAATGGATGAGTGAGTAAGCGAATGCATGTCTTAATAATTTCTCAACTCTAATTCACAAGAAATTAGAAATGGGTGCGGGTGCGGCCACGCTGCTCCCCACTCTAGATCTTCGTGGCAAACGCTCCTCTCCAGATCTTTGTGGCAAGATTGAACTGTAGGGCGTGGCAGTGGTGTGGCTCCCCATCAGTGTCTGTGTGTGTGTGGCAGGCAAAGTGCACAAACAGTTAAATGCTAGATTGCAGTCACAGGAACATGCAATTCCGGGCCCGGCACTGGAAAAACAATTGAATCTATGAATTATGAAATATTTTAACTCTAGCAAAATGCTCTTCCCCCTGCGGTGGCTCTCTCTGTGTAGCTCCCTAATTAACTAAGTGCCACGCACCTTGGGAGTCAGAGAGTCGCAGCTGGGGAGAAAACTAAGAGGAAAGCACACCCAGTTTCCATTTTCCATTTCCTATTTCCAGCTTCATGCATTTTTAATTCCCTTAATAGCTTTTGTCGCTCTAGCTCTAGAGCCAGGACCCAGAGCCAGACATTGATGGACCAGCCAGAAGCCAGCAAACAACAAAAATTAAAACGCCAAAAATGCTGTGTACTCTACCGCAGGTGTCCTGGTGGCCACAGGATGCAGATTAATTTCCCCAAACCAGGGCGCAGAAACAGGGGCCAGGGCAGCACCATGGATGGCCTGTTAAAAAGTCACCCAAAAAAGTTGTCCGTACCTGGGTCGCATCTGCTGGCTAAAACTAAGCGCAATGTGTCCTCCATCAAAATTAATTACCAAAAGGAGCAAAGCAGCGCCCACCATGATGCAAGGCCAATTGTCAGTTGCGGTTGCCGGGGCGCAAAAGTTAAAAGGGGGCGACTCTGCCACCCATAGCCCATCGCCACTCAGCATCGCCTCCCTCCAGGGCTCATCAGTCAACACTTGCGTAACAGTTTCCAAAATGATAAATTGCCACCCCCCTCAGACGGACCGAAGGACGTTGGGACTTGGCCACTCAACGCGTATTTTGTGGCAGAGTCAGCGTCAGCGGTATCAAGTCGATAGATACTTTGTTGCATATTTTGGGGCGCTGACTGTAAAAAGCCAAAATTAGATTGAGATGGAAACTGGATTAAAAAAAAAGGGAGAATAGTATATTTAAACAGGGAAAAGAGATACAGAGAGAAGAGTTCACTCATAAGAATTATATGAAAGAGTCATAAGAAAAGAAAATGAGCTATGCACGAGAGTCATCCACAAAGTTCGAGCGTCCATCATTTATTTAATTTTATTAAATTTTATCACTAAGATAAAAGGGAATTTCCTTTAATTTCGAAATCAGTATAACTTCCACAAAAGGCAATAATATTCTTAAATTTTTAAGTTCCACAAAAATACACACATACATATTAATATATGTATATCTGAGCATATCTGAAAATCCTTGCATCCCATCATTCAATCCAGCGACACAGCTATCTCTCTCCTTGACTCTTGGAATGCGAATTTCTCATCGCATAAATTCTCCGCAGCACGAACAATAAAGCTGAAAGGATAATGCCAATGCAACTGAATGCAATGGAGGCCAATGAAAGGATACTGGGGTGGGGTTTTGTGTGGGGGTGTCGTCTGATTTATTGGCTAATGCGCATTTCATGCCCTCGGTGCCCTCTCGCTGGCGACACCAGAAGTTGAGGCCAAATTAATTAACAACAAGGCGAACGCATTGTATTGTCTGTTGCCGCTTCGGTTGCGCGTTGTTGGTTTTTAATTAAGGAGTTGAATGCAAAATCAAAATTAAAGTGATTTACGCCACAGATAAAAAACACACCAAGAAAAAACGAAAACGAAACGTACTGAAATTACTGTCTGCTTTAATTATAAACAAATACAAGAGCGATGTACAGCCAATGATAGAATAAACAAATAATTAAGAGGCGGCAAAGTTTGGAAGTCGCTTGGGGGTCGATTGGTTGTGTACTCGTACAAAGCATTTTCCCGTCAATATTTGCCCTCCAGACAGGGGATGTCAACTGAAAGCGGAACTTCCATGGTGGTGGGGCAGTGCCTGATGTCCTGTCAAAGATAATGTCACACATGATTGCTTCTGGGTGGGTTTTTCGATATCCCCTCTCTAAGATTTCTGTCTGAGTTTCTAATTAAAAATGTAAAACATACTTGTACAATATATAAATAGAATACACATTTGTGGGTGACATTTTCATTTTGGCTTTTGCACTTTGCTCATGGGGGTTAAAAAAGGACCTTTAAGCGCGTAAACATGGATCTACTTTTGCGTTCATTTGAATTATATTTCAAAGTGATATTACGGCACTTCATATTTGATTTACTTATGATATTGCACAGTAAACAGCAAGTTGAATATTTTTAAACAAAACAGGATCAAAAAGATAGATATGCCTCCTGTGAGAATTGAACTCACGGCCCCTGGTTTACAAGACCAGTGCTCTGCCACTGAGCTAAGGAGGCTTGCTTGAAAAGAGCAAACCATCAAGAAATATAAAAGTTTCACACTAGTTAGCATCAACGAGTATGTATTGATTTTAGATAAAGTGGCAGTAGCATTTATCGAAATATACATCTTCCAAACCTTATCTTGGCAAAGAGTTTGTATCTTTCGAAGAACATAGACAGCAGCAGACCATTATCTAATTATTGATACCTTATCAAGTAAAACATGAGTCGAAGTTCTGAAAACAACTTCTTCATATTGTTAAAAAACCGAATTTTTCAGAACTTTAAAATCATTTTTAACATGTACATGTACATGTACATGTACATGAGAACAATCTCATTAACAATTAATGCACTAACAAATTTGATTCCTTTGAATTATCCTTGTATACCGTGGGAATCAGTCCGGAATCAATCAGTCCCATACATTTCCGTACGAGCACAGTTTCGCTGTCGATGTTTGCTCAGTTCCACAATTCTATATCTCAGTTCGCTGGGAATTTAAGACCTCCCCAGAACTCCAGTTAAAGTCCAAAACACAAAACAAGAAAAAATTTGCGTTAGTAAAACCCCCAAACAGGTTTTTGGACCGCTTAATCCTTCCAGACGAATGCGCTGAAATTATTTATTATGACGCAAAACTTTTTTCCGGTGCCGCAGTGCAAACGCGTACCGTACCGCGTTATCTCCTGTCCAAAAGAGCCAAAGGGTCTCGCACGGGCATCCGCCGAACTCGAACACGACACTGCCACCACCACAAACACTCTCCTTTTCCAGAGAAATCAGAAAACAACAATTGAAAATTACTTCGGAAAAAATGCACACCAAAAACAGAGCTTTAAAAGGTGTGTACCCCGAATTAAATCGTTGGTAAGCTGATTTTTCGACAGGAGCCACTTCAAAGGAAACAAATCTGTTCATTTGGAAGAATCGAATAAAGTGGGATAACGTTCCCAAAACGAATGTACTGGGGAAAACGATTAACTCTTAATGGAAAAAAATTCTTCGCATTAACTCCTAATCGAAAAAAAGGTCATCACATTTACTCTTAAACGAAAAAAGGGACTTTTCAATCAATTTTCAATTCTGCTTAAAATTTATAGAATTTTCAGCAACATTCTAGCTTATAATTTCCTTGACTCCGTTTTACAACACTATCGCAAAGCGTCGTTTGAGCCAGCAAACTATCGATACGATATTTACGGCAACGATATATCCACGTAGTTTCCAGCACTCGTTGCCTTTTTTTTTCACTTCGTAATAACTATCTGGCAAATTCAATTTGATTAATTTGGGAACAATGCCGCTGGATCAGGTGGTAGCTTTATTTGTGCCCAACAGCAATTTCCTCAATGTGGTGTTGGTCAAATCGTTGGACTTGTACAAGCCAGGCACAATCAACAGAGAAGTGGAGGTCGTCGAAAATATTGTCATTAATCCCAATATAATATGCTGGAGCGAGAAAAAGATCCAGCATCGCATCATAGTGGGAGAATACTTCGAGTTTGTCACCAGATTTGGATTGGAGGACCGGGACCCCGTGTACACTCAGTCGCTTAAGTTCTCCGACTGCATTAGCTTCAATCTGAAGCTGCACGAAATCAATTTGGAGCTTCTTATGCGCCAAACGCTCAAGGTGGATATCATGGATCTGCGCATAAACCTGGTCGCCAACAAGCCCTTTTCGCTGCACTGCAGCAACTGTGCCACGGAGCTGATCCAAATGCGGACATACCGCATCATTGATCCGCTGCCCATGTACACAAAGAGAGTGCCACGCGACTTCTGGGATAGCTTGGAGCTGAGGAACATTTCGTACTCCGAACAGATCTACTACGGCCTCAATCAGATTGTGATGTCTGCCAATCACATCCAATTCGACACTAAAATGATCTACTGCCGCAAGCGTCGTCGCGTCTTGTGCCCCGGTTGCCCGAGGGTGTTGGGCACTTTCCTCCCGAGGGCTGTGTGTCTCCATGCGGATGCCCTGCGCATCGGTACTCGTGCGTCCCCTGCAGCTCGCCTGGAGTTCAACGAACTATTTGGCCACATCACGCCCACACAGCTGATGTTGCGTCTGATGCAAGATACCGAAATGTCACGGATGTTCCTAAAGTGTGTGCGCCCCGATGGTCAGATGCATTATATGCTCCTGGTGCCGGAAATGAAGAAAATTCAGTTTCTGCTCTCCAAGCCATCGCTTTTCAGTAAGATCGATATGAAACCCCTGGATTTTATGGATGCGGACACCAGCAGCGAGAGCGATGACAGTTCGGACAGCAGCAACGAGAGCTGCAGCAGTTCCACCGATGAAGATTCACCGAATTCCATAGATAACCCCGGCTCCACACCCATACCATCACCGATTAAGTCTATGGATCACGCTCGTCGCCCAAATACCACCAGGAAGTCCATCGAGCATGTATTTCTGACTCCCTATAATGGCTACAATGTTAAATATATCTTCGCCAGCACTGATTCAGAGCTATGCGATTTAAAAGACACCATCCACGATTGGCGCGACAATAATGTGCGCTCCCTGCGCATCTCCTACGCGATGATGATTGAGCTGGTCAGCGAACTGAATGCCAACGAGCATATTGCGGCCGCTCTGGGCAATTTAGCGCCGCCCTGCCGCTCGCTAGAGCCACGCTCCAGTCACATCATATTCGAGTCCGACGAGGAGTTCTATGACACGCAACAGCAACTGGATGTGGTCCAAGTGCCATAGTTTTATTGCGTTTCAATTTAATAATATCATTCTTGGAGAACCTTTATTCCTAAATACTGTCACAAAGAATTTGCAAACATTACATTACAGACATGAAATTTCTTAATGAATAAAAGGAGAAACCTAAAAAAACAAAAAATATCTTCAGACAAAAATTGTATGCACTTTCTTTTATTTTATCTCCACTTTTCCGTAAAGAAGGAGCTATTCTATAATTGAATTGCGTCATGGATGCTTCCTGAACAGACCCATAAAACTGTTCCCCAAGCAATGATTTAACCCTTTTCCTGTATTTCCTTTTAATATTTTCATAATTTCTTGGCATATTTTCTTAATTGTCTTGTTGTTGTGGTAATTAGTACAGATTTAATTGCGGGCAAATCCTTATAAATATTCCAAGCAACCGATGCGGTTTATGGCTTATCCAACCCTCCAGTTTTTGGGGCAATGGAAATCAGGGTAAATACTCCATCCTCCTGCTTAAGGGCAGGACTGACCACATCATTAATCGTTGGCTGGTTAACGTACAACAATTTGTCCAAATAACAATTAAGGCCCAGCCCCCAACAAAGCAAACAAGCTAAGCACCCTAAAGGACATGGACACTCCCACAGAACGATGGAGGTCTACTGATCAGGGAATCGTTAACAGCATTTGACAGTTGGCTAATGAAAATCCAAGGGAGTGAAAGTGTTGCAATGTGATTAATGATTTGGCTTGGTTTTAAATCTCTCCTGCGTTTAAATTTCTCTGTAATTCTGGGTCCTAGAATCCATCCATTATTTATGCACTCCCCGTTCCATTATCCCACATGCACTTTGGTCCATTGTTCAGCGCGGCATTTCAGTGGATTTCGCTGTGGTCTTTCTTTTTTGGTTAGGACAACAATGACTTTCATTTTGGTATATGAAAGATTTCGTTGCAGGTGGAAACAAAATGGCTAATGGAGATGGGACTCGGTTCTATTGTTGGTCCAGCCTTTGTCCGGGAGTGGTTCCATCACCACTCTCTCAACCCCACCCTCCATAAATACTCGTAGATACTTTCTAGAATTACAAAAGTGCATAGGGGTTATCTGTGTGTGTATGTGTGTGTGTGGAGAAATTCCCCAGCAATTGCCAATAATTAACATAATGAAACCATAAATTGTGCAAATGGAAGAAAGTACAATGACACTAAATGGACCCCACCCTACTATGGCAGAGCCTCTCCATGTAGTGAAATACTTCCAGAGAAAGCATGCGAAATTAATATCAACGCCCCGCTTCGCCTCATAAATTAATTTTCAAGTGCAACAGCTCCGAGTGTCGCAGTTAGGGAGAAAGTTCCCCCCTCATAGAAGTTCTCCCATAGAAAGTATATCCATATGGCTGGACCTGGTAGTCGCTTCTTTGGTTAATTACCAAGATGTATGCGTGTCGCGCGCACCACAGACCAATTAACCCCCATTATGGTCAACTTTCGAGTCGGCGTGCCAGTGACAATACTGCACACTCATCCAATCATCTCGTCCTGGTCCTGGGTGAGGTCAAGCGTTCGCTGAGCCCAGCCATGGCTCTGGCTGTGGCTCTCCCCAGTAATTAAGATTTCCAAGAGCAACAAGCACACACACAGCCCACATAAAAGACGCAAAACAAACTCATTTCCAGGACTGGGTCCAAATTGCTTTATGATGTTGCAGATTATGATAATGAATGATGCCATCTGGACCTGCACTTGGTGGCACTCGAACACTGACCAGGGGCTATGCTATGTTGACACTTTAAGTGATTTAATGTTATTGTTTTCGTAGCTTCTACCCCCCTTCATCACTCCACGCCACTCCCTCCCGCACGCAGAACTTTCATGTCACAGAAGCGTGCATAAATTTAATGAATATTAATGAAATGTGTTGTTTTTTTTCGAGGCTTTATAATTGAAATGCTTTTGTTACAAAAGTTTTTGCAGCAAAGTTTTCAGAAGAAGATGGCAAAATAGTCCGTGGAAGGTTTGCAGTTTTTTCGGAACTAATTGTCACTGAAGGGCATCTCTCTTAGATAGATTCCCCTCTAGCTCTTTGGCCAAAATACCTGATGTAGTAGCACTCAGTTTGGGAGAAATTTCACTGTGAAAGAATTCACGTATCACTTCATAATATTTATTATAAGCCACATAGGAAATATCTTTTATATGGAAAAAAGGAAAACATAGAAAAGCTCTCCCCTTTCCTATTTCATATCTAGAACAAGAACATATACATGTACATAATAGAAAACTCCACCTTTCTGTGTGTCATTCCATGGGTAACTTATTTCCAATTGAAAGGTTTTATTTAAAATGTATTTTTGACACAAACTTTTTCGCTTATCATTTTGCGGATCGGAACGTTGAAATGTATGGAATATACAGTCAGTCGTGTACGAGTATACATATATGTACATATGTACAAGCATATATATTTTTGCCAGTTTATTGACACAATTGTGAACAAATAAATCCCCAACTTCGGGCCACTGTGAATGCTGATTGCATATCTCTTTTTTGCGCACCCACCCAGCACACTCTCCACTCTTCTTCGACTGCCCTTCTCCTTTTCGGTGAACTTCCATTGAAATGTTTTTGATTGGAAAAAATTTAATTTCCTATACGCTTCAACACTGCTTATCGCCGATGGATGCATTGTGTGCCATGCTATCCATCCAAAATGTGCAAAAAAAAAAATTGGCAACCTCCCGACGATTTTAAATTTAATTCAAGTGTTTGGCTCAACTGTTGGATATCTAAACTTTTTGTTCACTTTTTTGTTGGAGTTCCATTTGGTGGTGCTGCCATATGTAAGCGGGGTGTGGGGTATGTACAAAAACCTCAAACCACAATTAATTAAGGCAAACGCTCTTGAGGACAACAGCAGCACCAATATCGAAACATTCATTGAGAGTTTTTTTTCTAGTCGCCAAAGCTTCAATTACGATTTTTCGATTTAGTGTGCGGAGAGAGGAATCGCACTGCCAATTGTCAGAGTCATAACAAAAAGAAGAGAAAAAAAATGTTCATTAAACGTTGGCTCTCCTTGGTGGTAAAACCAAAACCAAGCTGTCCTTGTACCGTGTATAAAAGGTATACGGTTTTTGTGGGTTAATGTTAAGGCCAGAAGGTAGAAAAATTAATCTATCTGCCTTAGTTCCTAGATAAACAAGTTAAACAGCTGTCCAAATCACCTTTTAGGAGATTTCAAACTCATATTAGGTAGATATATACAGTTATCTATTATCTACTGAAAATCATAAACATCTTAAATAAAACTACAGCCAAAGTATTGTCAGAAATCAACAATGGATCTCTTTTAGAGCCATCCATTTTCTCCAATTAGTAGTGCTCTCGATTGAATCTTTTTAACTTCTTTCCTGAGTAGAGGGTATCCAATTGTCGAAACTCTTGGTATTTCTTACTTTTTTATATTTTCCTTTGCATTCATACATACTCGTATTCGTTACACTCATTCGCAGTCGCTCTTTTGTCCCAGTGACAATGGCGGAACCGCAGCGATAGAGAAAGAGGGAGCGAGAAAACAGAAGGAACCGCAGCCTGATAGCAAGAGAGACAGAGAGAGAGAGAGAGAGTGCCAGAAGAGTAAAATTCATTTTTTCCATTAAACCGAGCCGTTGATTGTGCATGAAGCATCATCGGGCGGGGGGGGCACAAATGTCAGGGGGCTCTTCGGTTAGATGGAGGCGCTGCGATAGGTTGCCATTTGGAAGAGCGTCGGAGCGCCACCTTCACCTCATCCTTCCACGTTGAGTGCCAAAACGCATCGATTGTGCGGTTGACTCCCACGGGAAGGCATAAGGTATGGCTTATCCTATCGTTGGATGCTCTACCCTGGAAGGTGAAGCTTCTTTTAACTCGCTCCCTGCTGTTTTTATAGCTCTTTGGACGTAAGAAGTATAGCTGATCATCCCATCCATTCAATTCTTTTCCTCTCTACCATTTTTGTCTACTGCCTTAGAGAAGAATTCTTTGTCTTCTCCCACTTACAGTGGCTTTGCAATTCGTTGAGATCTTAAATTTTTAACCGCTTGACAAACTTGTTCCTCCTCATGGATATTCGATACACTTGCAAATGGCTTTTTGACAAACAATGACATGGACGGACTCACCTACGATTGCGGCCACAGTTTCTTTGCCTTTTTTTTTGTTGGTTCTTGTTCTTGTGATTCCCCCTTTTGTGATCACATTTGCAAATGAATTGCTTATTGACAGTTTGATGGAATGATTCCCTCGTTGCCTCGATTGTCGATTTGCCAGACTTTTGTTATTCTTTAATTATGGGCTTGCCACAGAGGGAAAGAAAAAACAAAGGATTCATCAGAATGGAAAGGGAATGATGAGGATTTATGCGAGTTTTTATGTGTACTTATTATGTATTTTCGCAATTAAAACTTGTTGTAATTGACAGTTTTTGTGGCACACTTTTAGGAGCGCACTAAAACAAAAATGACTGCATTAAAAAATGCGTGAAGAATGCTTAAAAAACATACATTAAAATGCAATTTTAAAGTGGTTTCATTCCGCCACAAAGTCACTTCCGGTTGATTGCATTCTGCAGGGCTCTTAAAAAATGTCATGCGACATTTCCCCTATCATTGCTCCTGCCATCAATTGAAGTTGCCTCCTGCAATTAACAACTTTCCTGTTCCTGGTGGAAAACAGATCTTCTCATGTATGCAAAATCCATTAAATCACTCGAAAAAAAAAACCAGAGACCAGCGGAGAAGAGGAGATGAGGCGTGGAGAACATTTGAAACCACTTCAAGAGCAAATGACACATAATATGACTACAAAACAGTTGCCTCATGCCACACGGAAAGATGTTCAGCAGCTGGGCCCCGCCCCTGGTCCGATGTCGATGATAAAGTAACAACACTCAACCTCTTGGCAGCAAAAACAGCAGTTGGGGGTTTTGCAAAACACCAAAAGGGTTGGTCACACCAGCCTCAAGAAGGGTTGGGTCTGGCAGTGGCACGAGCCAAGCGGGGGTTGGGGGTGCAAATGAAATTGTCACATTCGCAAATTTAATTACATCAGAGTCGTGACTGCAGAAGAGACCTGAGCGGCGCAACGATGCTCCAGCTCTTAAAGCTGTCCAAAAGTTCAGCTCTCTTTGT